AGGCAGGAGCCGGGGGAGGCCTGTGAACCCCTGGGCCGGATCACGGCAGAGGCCTGTGGATCTCTGCTTGCCTGCGGACCCCCGGCTGGGCACGTGGTGGAGGGGCCTCTCCGCACACCTGCGGACCCCCAGGATGCGAGCCTTATGTCTCCAGGCCAGTGCAGGGGGCGAGGACGCAGCCTGCTCGGTCGTTACATGACAGCATCCCGACCAATTTGCATATTATCTTATTATTAGAAAGATATATATTCCCCATGCTGTACTTTACATCCCTATGACTATTCTGTAACAACCAATTTGTACTTATTAATCCCTTCACCTTTTTCACCCATCTCCTCAACCCCCCTTCCATCTGGCAACTATCAAAATGTTCTCTGTATCTATGAGTCTGTGTTATGTTTTTTAAAAGAAATTAATTTTTTCCTCTATAAATCCCCAAACTCAGCAAGAATATTAAAAGCAAATAATTTATTTTTAATCAACTCATCCCATTCCCTAGCCTGATATTTTAAAAAGATCATAACCTATCATTTCCCTTTCTATCTTTAAGAAGGAGGAAAACATTTTTATCTATCAGATAATTTGATTTTAAGGAAATGGCTTTACTCTCACCTTTCACTCAGGCATTCTCAGGAGGTCTGGCATTCTACAATTTAATCAGAAACAAGTTCCCTCTTGCTTTAGAAGTACAGTGTGAATTGTTGAGTCTCCAATATATAACACTACACACAGGCCCATAAATGTCACTTGGTTACCTGCAGATTCAAATCTTAAAGCTATACTTTGAATACCTGAGCAGAATGTACTTTTTTTTATATCCTCAAAGCTGAAGATGATACTTGGATATATTGTGGGAACATGTGACAAAGTAATTTTCTGGGTAGAAATAACTTACTTTGATTATACCATAGTGATATTAGGGAAGTTCAATGAATTTGAAGACATACTAGTAGTATTTGGTTTATACTTTAGATCTTATAATATTGCTTCACTGAGCCAAGTTACAATAACCCTAAGGATTTTTTCTAAACAAAGGGAATATTTTCAGTGAAGTTGCTTCCTAATGAGAATAATTGTCATCAGATTTTATACTGTTGGTACTTCTAGTAAAGTAGCAATAGTGATGTTAGCAGGTGATCAGGGACCTCTATGCTCCTATAATTAATACTCCCCAGTGAGGCTCAAAGGACGCATCTTCATAGGAACTGATCACTTCTGCATCCTCGTCTTCCTTTCTCCCTTCCTCCCTTCCTTCTTTGCTTCCTCCCTTCCTTCTTTGCTTCTTTTTTCTTTCTTTCTCCCTCTCTTTGTTTTCCTTCTTTTCCTTTTCTTTTTTTAGAAGGAAAGACAGTAGATCAGTGGTTCTCAACCTTCCTAATGCCACGACCCATTAATACCGTTCCTCATGTTGTGGTGACCCCCAATTTCATTGTTACAAATTGAACATAATTAAAGCATAGTGATTAATCACAAAAACAATATGTAATTATATATGTCTTTTCCGATGGTCTTAGGCGACCCCTGTGAAAGGGCCATTTGACCCCCCAAAGGGGTCGCGACCCACAGGTTGAGAACCACTGCAGTAGATGCAAGAAAAGGATAAAGAGAGAACAAAGAGGACATAAAAATACTGTTCCTAGGGGGTAAGTGACAAGATCAGGAAAGAGAAGACTCAAGATAAAGTGGGGGCTTGGTCTGGGATTGAGAGTATGGGGGCCATAAATGTAGTTGGTAATGAAAACAACCTCAGATCTGCATGCAGGTGGCAGTGTGGCTTTGTGGGAAAGAATGATGCAGTAATGCAAAACAGAGAGCCCACAACCAAACAGGAGTGGGTTCAATCTCATTTCTACCTCCAATTAGCTGCCTTCCCTTGGGTGAACTGGCTTTGGACTGTCTATTTCCTCCTCATAATCTACCTGCTGAAGATGATCGCAGGATGAAAGCACCTGGCATGATGCCTAGTACAGGGGAGACATACAATAAACTATCCTAATAATTATTACAAAGAATTTGTAGGCTGAGGGAGATTGCATAATGGGAGATGAGCAAGAAATAAACCATCCAGGCTCATTCCAGGCAGAGTGGCGAAGTAGACCATTTTGGTCTTTAGTGGTGCTTCAGGCTTCATGACACACTTTTCGGTGAATTATTCTGTGTGCCTAGTGCTCAGTGAGGCAGCTCTGCTTTGGTTCCCCTTCCGAGAATCTCCTTTGTGCCACCCCAGTCCTTCCCTTCTCTTAGACATTGTGCCCAGGCATTGATTAGGAGAACCTAGCATCAAAGGCCAGTTAAACTCATTTAAGGAAGTAGAAGCTATAAAAAAGGAGCCCAACATTAGAATTGGTAAACACGAGGCTGAACATCAGTAATTGAAATTTTAAGAATCACTTGAGAAAGCCAGTGAAGTGTTTCAACAACCCACAATTACCTTGTAGCTGGAGGCTCATCACCTGAGTTCTTCCGATCTACCACGGTGGGCTTTGTGAGTGAAGGTGGAAAGGTTCCTAAAATCCTGGTGTTTCATATGAAATGTTACATGCATATCCATCTTTCTGGTGGAGAGGGTATACAGCTTTCATGGCTTCCAAAGGGACATTTGGCCTCCTAAATTTTAGGAGCTATGAAGTGATTCTCTGGAGTATAAAATAATGGCAATACTCTGTAGAATGTATTATGGTGTTTGCTACTTAACGTGTGGTGCTTAGCAAGCATTAGCAGTAACAACTGGGGGTTTGATAGAAATGCAGAATCTTAGGTTTACTGAATGACAAACTGCATTTTTACACCGATCTGATCCCCCGGTGACTCATAATGAAATTTCAGAAGCTCTGCTCCAGTGGTAGGAGATCATGCTCTGCATTCTGAATTTGTACTTTAGCTCTGCCAAGTGTTATGTAACATTAAACTGTACCAAAGTCAGAGTCAGAATACTTGGGCTCCAGTGCAGAGTCTGACAACCATCAGTTGCTGACTGGCCAAATCATTGAACACGCCTGGGTCTCTATTGCTTCATCTGTAAAATAAAGTAGATTAGTCCTCTTTCAGCTCTAAATTCTGGAGTTTACCTTGCTCTCCATACATGTGCTTTATCACCACTTCTCATCGATTGAAATGATATCTTTTTGTCAACACTCACCAAATGTCTTCTAAACCCCAAAGCCCACACTGTTTTGTTCTTTTTTGAACTTGTATTATACTTTCTGTACCACTCCATTGATCGCTTTATTAGTTTTTTCTAGTTTTTGATTTACATCTTTTATCCCAAGCTTGGGGGCATCCAGGCTGTGTACTTCTTCTCTTATTAATTCTGTCATAACACAGAACACATAGTGGATGCCAATAAATCTTTGAGGATTGGATGCCATATTTTGAGACACATTGAATACTCTCAATCGCATTAATTTATTTTTAAATTGGTCATGTTAAGCCATATATTTCATAGTGAGGTAAATATGAAATATATTAAATTAAGCTATTCACATAATGTAATATAGGCTCTTAAATGAATAAATTGTAGTTGTTATTAGCTCAATAGAAGGTTAGAGGAAAAGAAAGGTATTGAGTTATCCTGCCTCTC